GCCATGTCTCAGATTAAAACAACAACAAACCTTGGCTCTAGCCGTTTGGCTTTAAACAAAAAGACGTAACAGAAAAGTATAATATTTTAGCTCGGGAGAGACAAACTTAACCCATGTAACATTTTAAACATGTATTTATATTTTAACGTCATTTTTGCCGAAGCTGAGGAGGGTCGGGAGACCAGAGTGGGAAGTCGCCGAGGCCACGGAGCCTCGGATGTGGGGCCACGGATCTGCGCCGCGCTGCCGATCCTGGATCCAGAATCGACCCTTCCTGAGACACATGGAATAGCGGCATTCAGAGGCAGTAGGACCGGCGTTTTGACAGCGTTAGTCCCGTCTACAACCCCCGTGCAGTCAACCCGCATAGCCGGCCATTCAGGACGTCACATTTTAAAAGAAGTTAACGGCCCCCAGGGTTGAGACAAACGACAAAAATCCTCTCATTTGAATTTCCTGATGAAATCAAGGTCACAGGCGCACGCCTTGTTGGCGGCAGGTGCCTCCGCGCAGGCGGCAGAGGCCCGGCTCAGTCGTCACGCCGAGCGCGGCTATCGTACACGGCGACAAGGAGCAGGCGGAACACTCGCGCAACTCTCGTTGAAATCAAACGCAGCGACGGAGAACGTTGGAATCTACCTCTGCCGTGACGCACGGTCGCCAGCCGCTGGGATTGAGCCGACAAGGTTTCCTCGGACGGCGCCGAAACAGAGTGAGGATGGGACTTGCCGTTCATTTATAATCCATTTCCTCGGTTCAGGGCGTCACACTGGAGGGCTCGGTGCCCCATCTAACGCGGTGGTCATTTGTGCTGCGCCATCATGGCGAGCCGGATCGTCGCTGCCTGGCAGGAGCATGCCGTTACTAGGCGATGGCATTTGTCTGCGTTCGACCGACGGCCTGGGCATGGCGGCGCGTGCGGACAAACAGCTTTGTGTGACAACTCCGGCACTGCAAGGCGAACACTCAACTTATGAAATGAAGCACGTTTTATAATGCCTGTCAATAAACGGTGTTATTTGTATTGTTGTCGTTATTGTTCCTTGAATGGTGAACAAAGAGTCAACCGTTGTTTTTGTCAACATCCACGTGCTCGTTCCATGTACGCACCAGAGCAAAGAGTCACTCGGAGCAGTCATCTTTGGCCGAGAAACGCATCACATGTCCGTATGTCCGTCACTAGGACCATGCGGTTTGTATTTACATTTTAAAATTGAGGTTTAATAAAAAAAAATATAAAAAAAAACTACGAACAGAATTAGAACTTCAAAGAAGAAAGAACATCATCGATCTATACCTAAACATCTATGTTTAATATCACGATGGCTGGGCACTGGCCACTAAAGTTATAATTGATCAAAGTTGACGTCTTATTTTGAGAGCTTTGGAAGAGAGACGATGGGAGGGAGAGAAGGGGGGGGGGTTGCAGAGTGGAGCGGTGCGAGGGAAGAAGCAGAAAGAGAGGCCTGGTGACGACCTGCAGTGTGGTCAGTGGGTGGGTGGGTGGGTTGGTGGGTGAGTGGGTGAGTGAGTGGGTGGGTGGGTGGGTGAGTGAGTGGGTTGGTGGGTGGGTGGGTGGGTGAGTGAGTGGGTGAGTGGGTGGGTGGGTGGGTGAGTGAGTGGGTGGGTGGGTAGGTGAGTGGGTGGGTGGGTGGGTGAGTGGGTGGGTGAGTGAGTGGGTGGGTGGGTGGGTGAGTGAGTGGGTGGGTGGGTGAGTGGGGAGCAGTAGTGTAGCGGTTAGTGCGTGGCGCTACGAACCCGGCGACCTGGGTTCAATTCTCGTTCACGGCCAACACCAGTGACAATTATCTGAACGAGTTTTGGGCCTCCCCAAGGTCGACTCAGCCTCCATTGGGTACCTGGTGCGGTGTTTAAACATCGCCACGAGGAGGACAAAGGCGGCCGGGCGTGGTGCTGGCCACTCACCCCCCTCGTGTACCGTGACGGCCTTCATAAGTCCTACTCGCTAACAGCACTTGCCCCAACAGTCTGTTAAGGCTACACGGGAGATCTTTGTCTTTGTTGTGACCTACAGTGTGGTGGATGAGACAAAACGGTGAGTCTGGCAGACCGAGTCCACAGCATGGGCGAAGCCACCGACGAGTGACGTTCACCAAGCGTGTTTTTACTCGTGTAGTTATTTTACAGCCCTTTCTCAATCCATTGCTGGATGAAGGTCTCCCCACGCCATGTCAGTCGTGGGAGTTGTTTGACCATACTTCACCAGGGCTAATTCAGGTTTTTGCGATCACTGTGAGAGCCGTGGTCGGGAATAAAACCCGGGGTCACCAGGTTCGTAGCGCACTGCACCTACCGCTGTGCCACAGCTCCACGCCTCGATTCACACATCCCGAGCGCAATAATAGACTTTATTTAATTGGTGAATTCGTTACATCGCTATTTGGCACCGTTTATGACAATTCAACCCTCATAATTAATTCATTGTAAACACGGCTGGTTATTATTTCTATTATATGACATTCTGTACCATTAAGGCACCACTGGAACATTATTGCAATCCCATCCACTGAGTCAGCTTCTCAACGCTCGGACCGATCGCCGGTTTAACTCATGAGACGAAACATCAAGGGGCTTCGAGGGCAGCGGAGGCGCAGGGGCAGCTCAAACACCACTCCACCTGCAATATTCATGCCGGGTAGATATCAGTGTGTCATTTAAATTTTTTTATCGTTTTTCCAAAAAACAACAAAGGCGCAATCGAAGATCATCACCTCCCCAAGGAGAAGGGGAAAGGATGGTAATTGCCGTAAGTCTGCCGGGCTCCAGGGTTAAACCTTCGGTGCCGAAACGCTAATTGCCAGCCGTCACATTTGTCAAAAGTCACATCGAAATAATTAGTCCGAGACTACGTGTCGGTAGGCAAGGCGGCGGTTCGGCAATGTGCGGCATCGCCGACGGTGGGGGCTGGGCGACGTGCCCCCCCTCCCCCCCCCTGCCTTGGCAACGCGGCGGTGGCGCGTGAGAAACGGCACCGCGCGCCACTCGCGCTCGCCGCCTTCGCCGTCGAGCGAGCGACCGAGCGGACTACCTCGGAGGGAAATTGAAAAAGCGACGAGGCATCCCTCGTCCCCGTGTCCGTCAGCCGCGCAGGTCAATAAATCCATCACCGCAGTGCAATCCTCGCGCGTGGTGCTCGGTTGTCATCGCTCGCCGGCAGGCATCGCGACCGCTCAAAGTGGCCCTGGCACGGGTCGCGATCGGCCGCAAATAACGGCCATCATCGGCTGACAAAAATAATAATAATCTAAGACCGGGCGAGCGAGTGCCGCCGAAGGTATTAATGATGCAATTTCTACGTAGCATGTCGAACATTAACACACGCCGCTAAACCAGACCCCAAGGGACCACCCAGTCTCGCTCCAGTTGTTTTCATTCGCAGCCACCAGTCACAGCAGAGCGCGATGAAAACGATCAATAATTGTCGATTCATTCGTCCAAGAGGACCCCATGCCGAGGTGACAGGGTGGCACAGAGGTCAGGGCGCTGAATATATTCAAGCAAAAATGTTCGTTTTCACTAAATTTGTCTAAATTCAATCTCACAGAATTAAAATATCAGTTTGACTGTCAAGTGACAAGCAGATATCTCATAGCAGGGAGCGTGTCGGAGAGCCGGGGCACTCCGCCTCTGGGTGAGTATCCACAAGGCAAGAGCCGTTTGACTAAGGCCGGCGAGGCATCTCCACGCTGATACGAATATTCACACTCCTGTGCGGCAGCTTCTGCAGGTGCACGTCCTTTACAAACAACAGGGATGAGCTAGAATAACATTAAGATATGACACACGCACATGGCGTGTTTACACAGCGCGCTGCGTTGTGATTGCGTTGTGTCTATTCGCCCGTGTGTGCGACCGTTCTCGAAACTCAACACCGCATTTGACAAATCTATCCTTGGTATCCGATGCTCCCCGTACGTAGAACGGTTATCGCATCTGTGTCACGTCCTCAGCAAGCTGCTCATTATATATTTGAACAGCAGGAACGTCAACATTTTGGAGCGACGTGCTTTTGAATGTGTACACGACTGGACTCTTAAACCTCATGTTGATGATTCGTAATTTGAGGCTCATTTAGTTTGGCTCCGCTTGGTTTAGTTATTATTTATTTTTAAATGAATTACGCTTTCATTCTCCACTTGCTTTTTAGCCCAGGTCTAAGTTGAGACCTTGGGTCTCAACGGACTCTGACCTGGTCACACAGAGCACTTAGACGTGAATGACCATCATGAAAACGATGAACTTGTGAGCGCATCGAAGGACATTCGTCACAGGAACATGAATGACACTGGCGGTGTGAGATCATATTTCCACAATTGTATCCCTAAACTCGATTCAGATATCTCACAGAGCATTGGGAACCCTTCGTGTTTAGAGAACGCCCCACAAAAGTAGATATCACAGACCTACCTCTGAAATCCTTTAAAGTTATCTCTGGTCCACAGAGTAGGTGGCAGGTGATCTTGGTCCCACAGAGAGGTGATCTTAGTCAAAATTAAGTTCAGAACTACATTTTATGTGATTTTTCATACAATCAGTGGGTACCGGGCTGATACCATCAACCAACTACACTTGCGAATCCGGTGTGATCACAGGTCGACCTTAGCGGTGCCATCTGAGCACTCTGACCTCTTGAGCCACCCTGGGGCGCCTTTCCAATGCGGTGCTTATTGAAGGGCACCTTTTGTAGTCCAATTAGCACGGTTGGCTACGTACGGTGCGAAAGAAGTTCAACATACAAACACATACGTACAAGAAGTTCAAGATACACACATACATACGCACAAGGAGTTCAACATACACACAAATATGTACAAGATCAACATACACACACACATACTTACAAGAAGTTCGACATACACACACACACATACTTACAAGAAGTTCAACATACACACATACATACGTACAAGATCAAGATACACACACACACATACAAGAAGTTCGACATATATACACACACACAGAGGGTGGCGCGTCACCTCGAGGATGGGCAGCCACTGCTCGGCGGTGACGCTCAGGGCCTGGAACTGGCGGTCGGTCACGTGGTGTCGCCCTCCCAGCACCAGCGCCGACGCGCCCAGGATTTCACAAGTCCGACACAGGCCTGGGGGTGGCACCACCGCACACTAAATATAAAGATCCCCCGTACACCCTTCACAGACTGTTGGGGCAAGTGCTGTTAGCGAGTAGCACCTATGAAGGCCGGCACGGCGCACGAGGGGTGGGTGGCCAGTAACACGCCCGGCCGCCTTAGTCTCCCTAGTGGCGATCTTCACACACCTCTCGAGATCGGGTCCTCCAGTTGATTTGGTCATGAGGTGATAATGATACTGAAGGTGATGGAATAATTATCCCTTCATCCAGGAAGGACCAAAGCTAAGCCTCAAGACTAGCTTATACGAGGACCCCATTTTGCGCTTTTTCCCGATTCCACAGTGAGTTTAGGTCGTGTGCTCGCCCCAACAAGACACTGCCATTGGCCGCGTTGTGAACGAGGGAACAGTGGGCCCCCCCTCCCGCCCCCGCGCCGCACCGCCCAGGTTGGTGGACTTGTCGACGAGCGACGCCACGACGAGGAGGCCGCCGCCCGGCGGGCCAAGTCGCGCCGAGCGCTGCTCCTGCAGGGTGGCACCCCGCAGGTCCGGGTCGGAGAGGCCACCGCGCCACGACACGAACTTCTTCTGCACGTCACCGTCACCGACACCATCCGTGTCCTGCGTCACCGAGCCTGTGCCGCCGAGACAAGAGGAGGAGCAGAGGGGCGAATGGGAAGGACAAAAAACCCATGTCCACCGAGGACTCGAAATCGCATCAAAAGTCTGATGCCGTGTATCCACAACCACTTAGCAGGCGAGCTCGGCAGCGCTGGCTTGGACAGGGGGCTTAGAAGCCCTGGGACAACCCATTGCTTTTCAGCATTAGCCGTCCCGACGCAGATCCGTGTCTCCAAACCGTATCAACCACGAGGCCCCGTGGGCTGGGGCCCCCTTCTTCCCGTTCCATCCCTGCCTCCCCGCTGACCTCTTTCTCTCCTAGCCCTTCTGAACGCAAGCTTGGGCCAGGTTAGACCATACCAGCCCAAAAATATATCATAGCGGTAATCTGTCGCATCTTAATATTACGTAAAAAAATCACGGCTGGGAACGTCAACGCGGCGAGCAATGCCACCGACAGCGGATCCCATTTCTGCGCTGACCCTGCGACGTCACCACCGGCCGTGAGGTCGACCCAGGCAAAACAAGCGTGCCGCTCCTCATCGTGGGGGGGTCCTAGCACGTGGCCCGGCGGGGCTACCGCAGGAAACCAGGTGCCAGACCTGCGAGGCCTGGTCTGCGAATCGAGCCGGCGCTCTTCCCGGTGGTCGTGGAAACTCGGCATCGGTGACAGAAGCGGCGCAAGAGCAGGAGAGGTTGCGTAACCCCACCCCGGAGACTCGAACACTCTGCCGCCTTGTTCTGGCACACACGGTGATAGGCATCGTGTTTTTTTGGACTTTCCGTTTGCCACTTATTGCCGTTTTGTTGAATGGTAAAAAAACCGTTAAAATAACGTATTGCCTCGCGAACACCGTGAACTATTGTTGTACCGAGTCTTCTTAAACACCTTGTTATCACACCGTGACTAACGTTACACTGCTACGGCAATTTTTCATTATACCTTTTCAACAAAAACTAAGAATTAATCTCAATTACCCGTTACTTCCCTCATTTCAATAATTGTCGGCACTCCCCACAAATCTGTGACAGGCGTGTGACTAACAAACGATGACAACGATGTGCAAGTCGGTTGGGTACCACGCGGCCCGCAAGACGGTGCGCCTCCGTTTCCATGGACACGAGCGAGCGTGAGAGACCGACGGGGGGCGGGGGGGGGAACCTCAGAGCATCGGAAATGTTGGAGTGCAATGGCAGCCGTCTAATAGCCCTCCACTCTAAAGGACTCATCGTTTTAGGAATAATTGGAAAGGGCGTGGGAGGCGTGCGGACGCGTGGCTTGCTCTCGATAACGACGGTGGCAGTCGTCCCGCACGCCCGCCCGCCCGCACCTCTCTCCCGTAGCACCCAGGCTGTGTCCTGCACGGCCTCCAGCTCCCGGCGAGGGTTGGCGAGTGGCGGCGCGCCGGGCCAGGCGTGCCGTCGCCACGGCAACGCCTCGAAGCGGCCCACCCACAGCCACTCGTCGTCGCTGAGCTGCGAGAGGCGCGGGAAGGTCCAGAAGATGGTCTGGCGAAGGGGGGGGGGGCAGCAACACAAAAGCGCTGAGGCAACTCCTTTGCAGAGCGGGGAGAGCAAAATGGCAAAGCTATAAAAAAACAAAAATGTTTCGGCGCAACGGCATCTGAGCAGCTTTGTCGAGATCAATTGCGATGGACGAGACCTTTGCGTGACGTGCGTTTTTTTGTAAAGTTCATCGCTGAACGAGAGACAGCAAGAGTCGAGGGTGCCCATCCGTGCACACTTTTGCCTCGTTATGCTCGGCAGGCAACAGCCCCTACGGGCGCCTGGGGGAAGACGACGAACCGAACGCAGCATCGCCACTGAAGGGCGATTGCCGCTCACGAGAACCCGGCCCTTCCCTGGGGGCATCACGAGGGACTCGACCGCTGGCCCAGTTCTCCGACACGCGCATCGGCGTCTTGGGACTCGGAGCTCGGGTTTGCTTTCCGTAACAAGTTCCCCATGCCAACATGCAGCCAGTGCCGGGAATAGGCAAAGAGGATGGCAATGGGTTAAGGAATTGGGGGGGGGGGCGCTGATAAAAACACATCCACCGGGGAACGAAAGAGCAAACGAGAGGACGTGGCGATGCGGTACGCTGACATAGCGGCAGCCGCCGGTGAGCTCCAGAAAGGTTACGTAAAAATAAGCACCAATCTCTCGTGCGTTTGTTCATACGAAGCCAAAAAGTATTTTTTTTCCGGGCGAATAACCACCAGCCGCAACGGCTGAAATTAAGCGAATACATAAGATAAGTAGAGATAATAATAACAAAGCAATTATGAGATGAGGCAAATAGCAGAGGATGAAGATTAAACGACGCACAAACAATCGCGGACGCAAACAGATGCCAATGGTGACGCCAGCGAAGGGACTTTGATGAACATAAAATATGCCAGGCTGCCCAAATCCTCCCGAGTGTAACGCTTGAACCCACAGCGCACCTCGCTCGCCCGGCGCTTCCCCACAGAAGCCATGCGGAATCACAAGCGGCCGCACGCGCGCGTCCCGCCGACAGCCCCGAGTCAAATTCATCAGCGGCGGGCTGCACAATTACCCCTGGCTCGCTGACGTCACCTCCACAGGTGCGCACGACCAAAACAAATTTATTAGAGACGGCAAAACACATGCGCCCCGCGCATCCGAAGAACAACAACAAAAAACAGAGCCGTTATTATTGGCATAATGAGGCAGCTTGGGACTGAATCCAAAGGGACGGCGTCACCTGACCCACCCAGGTTATTACCGGGACGCTCGTTGACACTGTTCAATTGACAGGCGCCCCTTCTACGTCGCTGTCGCACCGCCATCACTTGAGCCCAGAGGAGTGGAAATTTCCCCCACAGCTGATGAGGTGCATCCTCTTTTTTGTCTTCTGTTCATTCTCCACAAAATGTGGGGGTCACTGCCCAACGCGGATCAAGGGGAACTCGGCATTCGGAACTCGGTGGTTCTTCCGAGCTCTGTGACCTCACCCCCCATCAACCCCCTGACCCCACCTCCCCCCCCCCCCCTCCAGCCAGAGACGAAACGTCAAAATCACGGCCACGCACCGATTTCCATCGCAACGGAGAGATGCGCCCACGTCACCCCAGAGGAACCCCCCCCACCCATCACACGCACACGCACACACACGCGTGCGTGTTCACGGGGCTTGTGCTCGGGCTCCGAATGGGCGGGGGAGAGAGCGAACGCGCCCGCGTTTGTTCACGTTGAGCGCGAGTAGAAAACTTTCCCGTCGCTGAGATCGGAGTGGGCGCTCGGTGGAAACGAGCGCCGCCCGCGATCGGCTGATGCCCGCGGTGCGCCCCGCACGTCGTCACATCTCGCAAGATAAGCAGGGGTTCAGCCTGGAGAGTGCTTGGATGGGCGAGCACCGTGCATGGCACACGTGTCGGAGGCTGGCGGGGCTGCGTTGTCAGCGGAGGACAGTGCAGCAAAAATCCACTTGCATAGTACTCCGATCCCATGTCTATGCTCGCCGTCCACCTTCAGCAACGCTCAGTCTGGCCATACAGCCCACGCACGGCGCGGGCAGGCCCTCATCCAGCAGCGGCCCGACACAAGGGCTGTTAAAGCATAACAAAAAACGACAGAACAGGCTGATGTTTCGGATGATCCTTCTCCAGAGCGGTTGCATCCTATTGCCCTGGACACAGCGCAGCGCTGCCTAATTTGAACTCAAGCACAATGAATGACATATCCTAAGCGAAAGGACGGAGGCTCACGACATAGCCCCCCGCGGCTTGTCCTCCGTAATACACCACGTGTCCAAAAAAAAAAACATGTCGTGATGGAATGAAATGAAATGGGCGAAAATCGGAATGCTGCCCAAAGCTGCGACACAACAGACTGGCGGTGGCGTTATTGTGGCGGTGGCGTTATTGTGGCGGTGGCGTTATTGTGGCGGTGGCGTTATTGTGGCGGTGTTTATCCGCCCAGCGCGAGCTCCGGTGCAGCGCGGCACCCAGCGTCGCGACCGACGGCTCACAATAATTAGCTTTCTATTTTTACCCGCAGCCACAGCTGCCCATGCGCTCCCCCGTGGCAATCGTCTGCTGCACGAGTGACAAAAAATTGCCTCCTTCGCCACACAAGGGAATACCGCAAAACGACAACGCTTCCATTGTGCACAGTCCCTCCCTCCCCATGCCCCCCCACCTGTAGCCCCTCCACCTCCAACAATTTCAGCCTTCCCGACCCTGGGCTACCCAGAGATGCCCTCTACCCCACCGCCCACGCCACTTCCCTTTCGGTGATAACGGCACGCTGTGCTGTGGCTTTGTGAAATACACACTTGTTTCTTTTCATTGCACGCGCATTTTGGGGTTTTTGGGGTGTGCTCATTGCATGTGGCTAAACACACGTGTACACACCTTGCTACCAACATCCCCTGTGTAGGCTACTTAGACTATGAGGGCAAGCGCCGTTAGTGAGCGTGTGGTGTGGCCGGCACCATGCCTGGCTGGCCGCCTTTACTTCCCTACCGAGCGAAGTATTAATTTAAGTAAGATTCGACCTACGGGAGGCCCAGGGCCGGTCGAGATATCGCCCGCCGAAGATATTCGCCGCGGATGGGAATCAAACTGAGGTTGCTGGGTTTGTAGCTGAGTGCGCTAACCACCGCACCACGCTCGTCAGTGCAAAATAAAAAACATCCTCCTCCACGGACGCACACACACGCCCACACGCAAAACCGGGAAATAAAGACTGCGAATATTTTCTGTTGACTTGTCATTGAGGCTCACTTCCAGATAGGACCCGATGCCTTGCAAACAAGTCGACGTGTGTGTGTGTACATTTTTATTTTAACAGCGCACATCCCCGTTACCGGTGAGGTTTGTGCGTGTGCATAAGGGCTAGTACGCGATCTCCGGATGTGCTCGTTTGGCATCCGGAACGCTCGCGTTCCATCTCCGTCGCCATGTGGGCCGCCGCTCCCGAGTGACCGCGCGGAATTGGCGGCCGAGCTCTGCCGCCCTCACTTTTCCGTCGGGAGGGTTGAAGCGTCGTTTTATTGGTACTCGCCTCGCTGAAAAAGGTCGGACACCACGCTGCCCAACACGCGGTGCACTCCGAAAAACGCATCAGCAAACAAACTAGCGAAAGACCCAAAGCCTGATGTGGAGCGCTGGTCAGCGATGGGCGGCGCTGGGCAGCACTGCTGCCCATTGCCTGCTCGTGAGATAGGCGGAGAGGCATCGGCCTTGCTCTGCTTTGAGGCATGCAGCTGGCCCGCTGCATAAAAGCATAATTTATTTTTCAATTAAATAACAACAAAGCGCAGTCCTGAGTGTGGAACACCGTATTCTCGCTCCGAGGTCTGCCGTTTTTGATTATTACTTTCGATAATGGTAAAAGGGCTTGAAAATACTTGAATAAATAAAATAGTAAATTTATCACCGACAAACAGGCACAAAAAAAATCTATCTTGGGCTCGGTACGAGTGGAAAAAGCGTACTCTTATTTTAACACACAAAGGTGTTGTTATCATCACTTTCAGAATGACCACTTTAACTGGTGCATCCTTCCGTACGCAGCTGTGTGCCAAGGACAACATGAACAAAAAACGCTGAAGGACATGGAGAGTGGAGAGGCGTAAGTGCTTCTAAGAAAGCCGTTCCCCAGGTGGGGCTGACGGCAAACAGCGCAGGATGAGAACTCTCATCGAGTGACGGTGTGACAAGTGTATAGGCAAGGGCGCAGGGCAGCCCTGCCACGTTTAGTGACCGTAGTCCTTTATACCATTATTTTTTTAATGATCTGCATCTGGTGAGCTACATCAAACGTCGATCGTTCATGCTGCGACCGTGAACAGAGCAGGCATCCTCCATAGTACCCCATAAAGCCACACAACGAATGAGACAAAACATTCCCCGTGAACTCTTTTATCTCAAAACTGCTTGCTCCCCCTTCACACCCCTCCCGACGTCCTTCCCACCCTCCCCGCCCCCCTGACTCAACCCACATTAATTTCCCCACGCAGCAACTCCATCCACATGGCCCTCCCAGAGGGAGAGCCAAAGGTCCCGGTGGCTAAACCACATTGGAGGGGGGCCCTCGGAGTGCGAATATCCTGGGAGCCCTCCATTGATGAGCCCAAAGCCACATGGACCAACAGCGTCAATTCCAGCAATTACTGACACTGATGCAATCCCACATTGCTTTGTTTTACGGTAATGTCTTTCATTTCGCGGTATTTTCAAATGCTCGCAGCGTGCAAATGATGCGGTGATACCGCGTCGTCATTGGACTCACAGCTGGGGACCGTAACTGTGGTGACACGACTCATCACCTCTGAGATCCAGTGCCTTCGGGGCCCTCCCCTGCCACCCTCATTACGAGGCCCCCTGTGGAGCGGGGGAAGAAGCCGGAGAGGCGACGACCGGTTCCCTCGCGTCCTCCGCGCCACCGGTGTCGTGGCACGTGAGGCCCCGCGCAATCACAAGCCACAAACTCTGCATGCGCACGCCAGGTACGATCGCAAATTGTCACGATATTACATCTCACACCCGGACATGGGTGGTGCGAGGCCCGGGCTAACAGGGCTTAGCCCCCCTCAAACTGAATCGCCAGCCGTGGCATTCAAACTCAGCCTACACGGCCAACCTCCCGAGGCCAGACTTGGCGAGCGCGTGGTGGACTCACGCAATCGGTGAACCCCTGCCGCCTTGGGGCTACCGATCCACCCTAAAAATATATCCACCGTCCACTTATCGTTACCACAGGTTGGCTATGAAAAAAAAAAGCTCTACATATATACACCGATATACTCGGCCCAAATAACCCCGATATTTCGGGAAGTTAACGCCACGGTGGCACCACGGAGACGAGATGTTAACTACCTCGCCTGGTATACAGGGGGTCGTGGGTTCGAACCCCACCCTGACACCTGCATATTTGGAGTTAGCATGTACTCCCCGTACTGGCGTGGATTTTTATCCGGGTCCTCTGGTTTTTCCCTCCACATTTAGAACCATCATGCGTTTAGAGTATTTGGAGGCTATACATTTTCACATGATGACAAGCCACTTCATTTGGGTATCATTTGTGGCGAGGTTGCTTCTGAAAAAGAGCTATATAGCTCAGCGGGCCTTACCTGGTAAAATAAAAAAAACATTGTTTAATTTAGTTTTAATATTGTCTCCACACACATTCCATTAAAAGTCAGGCTAACTGAGGTGGATTGATACCTGAAATGTCCAGGCAAGGTGTGAGAATGATGAGGATGAGGATGATGATGATGAGGATATACCAGTTTGGAGTGACCACCACACCAGTTCTCCTGTAAAAGCACCCGACCGGTGGAAGAGGCACCAGCAATAATTCCACTGCCCGGCCAACTCCAGTTCCACGGTTCCGTTGTCTGAAACTGTAAAAACCCGACACGGACTTTTTTTGCCTCCACAAACCTGGAGCCACAAGCCGCCACTGTCCACCGTTCACTCCTGCCAGCCCCCGGTCCGCTCACCTCGACGCTGTAGTCCAGCAGCGGCTCGAAGGTTCTGAAGAAGAAGTGCTGTTGCAGTTTCTGCCAGTTCCTGCCGATGTTTCTGTGAACGAGCGGGCGGAGGTTCACGTTTCAAGTTGATTTTGTTGAATCGGGTGAGAACCCAAGAGATCAGGATGAGTCTCATGTTGCACGAGTGGCCTGCGACATCAGTCTGCCAGGAGGGGAACAATTATTTGTATGCATAATCCCAATTGAGTAATTTGCAGACTATTTCAAAATGTTACAAATTTGGACCGTGACCCCGGCACGCAACGGCCTACACCCGTGAACGACGTCGGGGAGATCTTTAACATCCACTGCGAAACAAGACGGCGCCTCAGTGGCATTAATACGGTTATTTCACACGCAGCGTTATATTTTTTATTGCGGAAAGAAACATGTCCCAGGAGAAAACCCACTCGCACGAGAGAAAAATATGCCAACACTGCACGAACAGCCTGTCTAAACCCTACTGTCTGTACTGCCTTCGAGAGACACTGCATTGTTCCGCAGGTAGGCATCTAATGTCGGCTCCATCGTCGCCGCGAGCCACCCATCACGTCCATCGCCGCCACCCGACCAGCGCCCGTCGCTTCAGCTGGAAGTAACGAAACCCCCCAACCGACGTCACGGGCAACCGTTGTGCACTCTGCTAACGGGCAAAGTACACGACACGGTCGCCCGCGAGTGTTTGCGTTCCGCGACGGCGGCGCCACAAACCGTACCCGGCGGCCGGCATGCAGGCGGCGCCCCGCAGGCACACCTCCACCAGCGGCGCCAGCGCCCGCAGCTCCCCGTCGGCCGGCTCAGCCGGCCTCTCGGCAACTCCCGGCGCGCAGACCGCCCCCCAGACGCGGCCCAGCGTGAGCAGGGCGTAGAGTCGCACGAGGAAGCTGTGGCTCATGCACCAGGGCAGCACGGCGCGCAGGCAGCGGAGACCGGCATCCTGCTGATCGCACCAGCAAGCCACGGGCGCGGAAAACACGGCCAGATGACTCGATCACTTCCGCTTCATTTACTGCCATTGAAGACGTCTGGCCGGCGTAGCAGAGTCGGCCCAGATACTCTCTAGAGGGGCTCTCGATTCCTCCTGCTCGCGGAGGCCCTTGTTCCAGTAGTGACATGACCAATAAATTGCAGGGCTGCGCCTTTACCTTCACATATTGTTATTTATCATCTTTTCAATGAAAATGTGTTCTGCCCCAGCCCAGTAATTTAACTCAGCAGTTAAATAACTGGTCGAGACGCACGGAGGAGTGGCAGCCAAAGGAGGGAACAAGAACGAGAGGACGTCCAGCGCAGAGATGACATCTGCTCGTGTGCAGGAGCAATATGGATGTTGCATTGCAGGACTGTGAGGGACGGCATCAGTTGTGGAAGGCTCTCATCCAGCAGTGGATAGATAATGGTTGATGATGATGTTTAAGCTAGTGTATGCGGTTCCCACCGCCACCGACAGCCCACTACTAAAACTTCGTGGCAGTGATCGTAAAAGGCCAATAGATCGACGAACGAACCATGGAGAATTCGAAACGTAACTTAGAGTTGCAGCAGCGGATGCACATATCCCTTCCAAAATCGTGGGAGTGGTATTTTTTTACAATTGTAAGTCTCTACAATATACATACGCACGGCACGTGCGCGTACACACACGCACAGTAAATCAAAACACAGACTAAACACGCGGCGTGTGCCGAGAGACCTTGGCGGGACCCCGCTGTGTTTTCATTTGGCGTTGCTCACGGGAGCTGCGTGGGACGCACGCCGTTGGCGGCGGGCAGGTGCCCCCCCCCCCCCCCCCCCCCCCCCCCACCGCGTGGGCACGAGCGCAACCCCCCCGCCCCCTCCCGCCCCTCCGCGTGGGCACGAGCGCAACCCCCCCCCCCCCACCGCGTGGGCACGAGCGCAACCCCCCCGCCCCCCCCCGCCCCTCCGCTGGTTAACCACGATGGCGGCAAGCGGTGGCGCGGAGGTGGGGGTGCCGAGCGGGCACCGCCGACAAGAACCTGGGCTAAATCCGGGTTTTGGCCGCCCGCGACCAAACCGGGTTGTCGAGCGTAGGCAGATGACGGCGAAGCCGTAAGGCGTTTAACGCACGCGTGTGCGCGCGTGTTGAACTTCTTTTGCAATGCGCGTAGCCGACCGTGCTAATCGGGGGTGCGGGGGATGGATTGGCGGGTGCTTGTGTGGTCTGGAGGCCGTAAGTTAGAGCTGGCGATATATTTTCCGACTTAATCGAAGTCTTAATCACCTCACAGATACAAAACGGTCACCGTACGCCGTTCATTCAAATACGACCGTGCAGCAAAAACCAATCCAAAAAGCGTGCGTGAAGTGAACCGTGAATCATCCACAGCGTGGCCACAGCGAGTACCTTGTCCGAGTTGCTGGCGGCCACCGTTGGGAAGTGAGCGAGCACGGAGAGCAGGCTGCAGACGCAGCTCTTGTTTTTCTCCGGGTCCTGGTCTCAGCCACGCAACAGGCTTCGTGTTAACGCCCTCATTCATGAGGTCAAGACGTGAAATAGCGAAATCAAAATGTGACCATCTACCCCCACACAATGAATCGATGAATTGTCACGACTCTGGGTCGCGATTCCATTTAAGACATTATTCTTCTAAGTCTCATTTGCGAAGTTAGTGCCATTATGCCTAAACGTGACGTTGGCACATCAATTACGTTCAATTCGCGCATATCGTATAACGATCAACGGATCCGCACGCGCGCGATCGCGATACGTTCGACACGACCATCGCGATCAATTTTAATCGACGAGACTCCACACAGCTCACAGCACAACCGATTAAAACTGGCGCAGGCGCGGTTCAACGCGTGCGGGCGGCGTGGCGCGCGGGGTCCAGCGCGCCGGCTCACGTAGGCGAGGGCGGCGACGAGATCGCCCAGGAGGTGCGGCCGTCGGTTGAGCGCGAGCACGAGCGCCCACTCGAGCAGGTAGGCCACGGACGGCTGGTTGTCGTCCGCCGTCGCCGCGCACGCCCTCGCAAACACGCGCTCCACCTCGTCCTGGCGAGAGGCGAGAGGGCGCCGGGACCAGCCGTGGGTGAAGTCGGATAAAGGGGGGGGGGGGGGCATTAATCCCGGGGCGCTCTGCGTGGTTTTGAGGACCCCGTGCAGTGAGAGCCACTGGCGATCAGCCGGTAACCGTTACACATCTCACGCGTGCGGGAGCAGCGTTCAGCATCGCTAAGCGGGCTCCAACCGGTTTCTGATTTTGCCGATGGGCACAGCCACCTCTGCTTAAATGTTGATAGCGAAACGTGCCGATGACAGCGACCCCAACAGATACCAACAGCACACTCGTGCCGCTGAAGTCTTACACTTACTCTTTCCCCTGTGCGTATCTCCATTCATTCATTCAATTGTTCATTATAAGACAACCCATGAAATGTTATGTCAGAATGTCAAATATCAATATCAACATTTTCCTATCACCGTTCTATACAACCTTGGAAAATCGGATGAATAACACCTCTCCTCAATTGGTCGCTAATCAAATAACGACAACATATTAAAATTTCTAAGCGATGTCCTATAAGCGATGCAAGGGATGTGTTGAGATATGGTATATGAATTAATAATGCCCCCGTGCAAACAAAGATAATTATTAAGCGAATAACTCGGAATAAATGATCGACCGTTGCAGCGCTGACCCATGGAGTATGCGTAGAGGACACGGCCGACTTGCGGAGAGACGTCGATTTCGTTTGCGCTAAGTGGCCTCCGCGGGCGTTAAGTAAATTACTCCACTCTGGTCGGAGTCACGATGCCGAGCCGCCACTAAATTTTAATCAAAACACGGCTGTGCCCCCCGCCCCGCCCCCCACCACCTTGTGAGACGGTGTTTGGGAATTGGATTTGCTTCCTCGTGCCCATTGTCAGGAACCTCGTTTGTTGGAATCCACGTGCAGAAGTCACGGGCTGCACGGTACCGTCAACGCGCTGCACGAGATACCGGTACGCGGTTGCCACGGTGACGAAAGGGACCTCTCGATGCACTCGAGGCAAAAGCGAAGGTCGGGTAGTGGGTCACCGATAACGCCAACGAGTGACAGAGCAGCAGCGCAAAGGAGGAACGTGGACGAGGGGATAGATGAGGTGGGGGACCGTCATGTCTAACGCTGAGAGTATTTTTTTACGGAATCCCACCCTGCAGCGTCACTTTGTTGAAAGTAGGGCGGCGAACTTTAAACAAACGTTGAACGGTGAAGAGAATGCGTTGCGGTACAATCCACTCTTGCCTGCCGTGCGTTATTTGAACATGAAAAGAAAAACCTCCAACGTTTTGAAAAATTGTAATGACACTTTTAGGACCGCTAAGAATTAGGAAGGGGGTGGTGAGGGGGGGGGATACTCAGCCTCCCCCCCCCCACCATCCTCGCCAACACCGCGGGTGCCGAACGACGACGCATATTCTGCCGCCAGTGGGAGGCTGGGGCAGGGCGGGGGGCGGGACCCCCCGTGGCGATGCTTACCGGGCCCTGCGAGGGCAGCAGCAGCAGCACGGCCTGCCACAGCCGGTTGCGCGCGCGGTGCTGGTCCGAGTTGGCGAAGCAGCGCGCCTTCCCCGCCGCCATCGCCCGGTCCTGGGGGCGAGACGCACGCAGCCGCTGCCTCGCGCCCTCTCTCTCTCCCTACGCCACCGCCACCCGCTCGGCGAAAAAACAAACCCCCCCCACTCCCCCCCCCCCCCCCCCGGTGCCGTCAACTCAGAGGAAACCGACTGCCTCGATCTTCAATAGACTCAGGGGGTTGAGAGGGCATTGAGAAGAGAGGGCAGGGGACATATAGGAGACTACGAGATGGGAAATTAAATAAAAAAGTTTTTAAAGAAAAACCTCCACTTGTAAATGTTGTGGGTTTACTCTCCAACACATCACCGGTGTGCTCAAGTAGTAACTAATTTTCACGTTTTGTTTACGTGACAAACATTACTAATTGGCTGTGTCGGGTGGTGGCGGGTTTAACGACACAATTATATCTACGCGATCGAACCCAAAAAACCTTTATTGTCGATTTGCTTTTTGACACATATATATAAACAGCAATGTAAGTTAATGGTTCTGGGGGAGACCGTTCTAGCAGAGTCCATTTAGAGTTATTTGTTTATATACTTACTGCTGGCTTTTCCCAATTCTATTTGCAATAACTCTGGCAGTGCCATGGCGCGGGATGCAAGACTTGCCCATTTCAAACTCGCAGGTAAGCGCAGAACCCTGCGTTAGAGAAGGGCATGTGGGAGGTGACTTGTCCAATAAATCCCGTGATTTAACATATTATACACCACATAACTAGCTGTGAAACCCCTTCAAGTGATCTATTGTATCCATGCTTAGGGCACTGCAATTCCCCATGCTGCTTGCTATAGAGATGTCCGTCTATTACATAAAAATTTATATATTTTTTTTACGTTTAGAGCTGGCAATTTTTTTACCAAATGAAGTAAACCAGATTTTTTTAATGAGATTGTGACCAAGTTGGGGACCATGAACTCCCTACATTTGAGAAACAGTTTTAATCACGGATGGCTGAAACACGGATTTTAACTCAGGATTTCAGCTGTGCTGGCTCAATGCTCTGAGCACTCGGCTACCAGCGTACCTCTGTTAGTATGTTTGAAAAAAAACATTAAGACATGAAACCACGAACCACTTCAGCACGGTAATATGCTTTTAAATTGCCGCAGACTGAAATGTTCATAACAAAAGCTTTCAGGGTCGTGAATTCACGCGACGTGGATTTGGCGGGACGAGAGACGTTCAGCGCACGTGAGGACCTCAACGCGGTTCTGGCCGGGTGTCCAAGTGGAGGGCGCGGAAAGCAGCAGCTCGTAACTGTGGCCACGAACACATCGGCAGCATAGAGAGGTAACCACGAGGTGGTCTATCGGCAGCGCAGGGCAGCGGTCAAGTGTCCGCACACCCGTGTGACATTTGGCAATGGAGGCGCGGTGCATCGTGGGATGACATTTGTATGCTCTGCCGCTGTGCGCCTATCCACGAAAGTGCACCACCGGTCTAGATAACAAGCCTGTCTGGTAAGTGTTGAGGCAGTCAAAGGAATGGATGAGCTTGCCTTTGATTTTACACACTGCTCGAAAAATAACGATTAAATAATCTTCCGTAGCGCAATTCTTTGATGTTTTTATTTCGTACTCCATTTAATCTCCTGCCAGGCTGCAGAGCCGATTTTAAACGCCCCAGTTCTTGTGCCGTCTCGGCTAATGAATTGGGTCGTTGCATTTGCATTACAAACGGTTATGTAAAGCGTTACATAACGTCTTGTGCGACAAACAGAAATAACGCATTTGAGACACGGGGCACTGGGACATTTGCCTCGTTTACGGAAAATTTAGGTTTTTTAAGGTCAACACAACACATCGTGAAAACAGTAGAGATTGAAAATGGCCGTCCATACGTAACTATGGCACCCGTGTGGTCTCCCTTGCCAGAAATAATGAATCCCAAGGGCTCTCACGTGGTTGAAAAAACACCGCCAATCAATCAACTTCAGGTAGGTCCAGGTAATTTTGGGTCATTTCAGGACACCTCAGGTACCGGTTATTGTGACATAAGCTTGGCACGTGGGGACAGCCACCGTTGACGTCTCGTGTGCGCCGGTATAACACGTGCTCACGACCGCACGCCGACCCGGGCAAGCAACAACAAAAAAACAGAAGACGTTTTGAGCGAGCGGCTATTTTGAAAACCGAAGCGTAAGAGTGGCTTTCACTTCACGCTGGGGCCGCGCGTCGTAATCGGTCGGCAAATTCACCCGGGGCCCTTCATCAGTCCACTTCGCGCATTATCTTTGGAAGCGTTTTGCACTCCGCGAGCGCAATTTCTTTCAGTTGAATGACCGAGCAGTCATTGTTGCATCTATTTTGTGTGTGCATTCGGGATCGGAGTGACTATTTGTTGATTACAGTTCTTGCCGCTTCCCGCCACTGCTCGCAGAAGTTATAATATTCTGTCCGTGTCACGGTGCACGCGTGCTGCAGGTTTAGTCCGTGGACAAAGGCTGCGGTGGTCTGTATCGACTTTATTCACCCAGCCCCAGCCGCAAACTCTGACACTAATCTTATCCACGTCTCTCAACAACAACAGTGTTCATTTATATGCCGTCGCAATACAATCATATCTCAAGACACTCTCTAATAATGAAAACCACATTCGCGTGGACGAGCGGATGGGGGATTGGCGAGCAGAGATCAAGAACGTGGGGGGCAGCCTGCGACGAAACAACTGGAGCCCAGCACCAACAAAGATGGGTCCCAGGGGCAGCAAAGGAAGCTCCAATGAGCTCCTTAATTACTCTCAGCACCGTCGGCACCCATAAAATCCGAACCCTATCTCCTTATCTGCGACCCTATTCCTTACCCCGGCCTTAACTCCGGCCCCGTTCCTTTCCATAACCCCACACCTCAAAGCAAACGAACCTCCACCCCGACATTAACCCCAATGGGCGGGCCACGCACGCTCAGAGATCAGCGGAACGGCTAAGGGCAGGACGCTGTCGTAGCGTCGCGGTCTAGTCCCCCTTTACGCGGAAATACATTCCCTTCAATCCACGAAGAAGAGGGACGAAGAGGAGGGTACGAGGGGCGTCGGTGCGAGGTGGCCGCGCCTGCCTGACGCGCGCCGGTGGGCGGCGGCGCGGCGCGTCGGCACGGAACACCGCCACGGCGCACGCACGCGGCGACGTCCAGCATAGAAACGGCCCCTCCCCCGGGGATTGGCTAGCGTCAATCGAGAGGGGTAGACGAAGACGAGGAGGGAATCGGGTGACGGGCAACGTCTCTCACAGCCACCGCCGTGGCCGCTGCTGTTGCCGTCGTCCGCAGCCAGAGCCGACGGCTGAGCCCCTCTCCGCGACGGCCTCCTCCCCAAAAACCCTCGCGCCTCCCTCCAAACTCTAGATGACCCGGAAATTCTGCTGCCAGGACCCTCGTGTGCACGACGTGAAGGATTTATCAATCCACTGCTGGATGAAGCGCCTCCCCACACTCGTTGATCGTACGGTGTGGGTTGCTAAGGGGGGCAGCGTGCCCAGGACCGCTTTAGACTTCACTCTCGCCACTGGTGTTGGCCGTGGCCGGGGATCAAACTGGTGTGGCTTGGTTCATAACACGGTGCGCTAACCACTCCGCCACCGCTCAATCCCAACAATACTGTATGTCCCTGTAACAAACCACAATGGATATTAGTGTACGCAATACCCAAACAACCCAGCGTGACGAGGAAAAAACCAAAACAACACACAATCCATACAACAATACTGAGAAATACATGAACACAACATAAACAAAGTGCGCAACAAGCATTGTGCAACATGTGTATGTTACGTGCGATGACGTCAATGTCGGATCCACGTGTGTGATCCGTGTCTGATCCACATGACGTGGATTAGACGTGGACAAAGGAGCCAGAACAAAGCAACCGGAACGAAAGCTGAAAAGTGTGCAAAGAAGTGCGGAGAGCCAAAGGCTTGGAAATTCTCTGAGAGACACAGGGAGCAACGCACGGATTAAGGAGGATACGTCGCTTGAAGACACATTTTTGACCGTGAGCAACAGCAAGAGGGCAGGGCACGTCGAGAGAAGGCACGACGACCGGCGGTTGAGAGCTAACGACGGAACGGAAGTCAGAGGGAGGAAGCCGCCCCGAGAGGGCGTCCACCGCAGAGATGGAGCGACGAAATCAGCCCGCGTGCAGGGGAGGCCTTAACACAGCAGTGGATTGGTCGTGGCCGACTGCTCTCTTTCTCGAGATAAAATAAGTACGTCCACTATATGTTGCAAACAAATCTAAATCAGTATATTCACAAGCTACATTATAATTATATGCATTGATTCATCGATTTAAACAATGTACCGCTTAATCGATTGACATGCATTCCTATGCCGAATATAAATGCATAAAATTGTGCGTGTACATTTGTTGACAACATGAATTACATACAAATGGTACTCTAACATCACAGTTGGGCTAATGGGGTGAACGAAACTGCACGAAAGAAAGGATCCATTCCTGAATCGTGAAAACTCATCACATCGCTGTTGTGCGGTTGAATCGCTACGTGCCAAATACATATTCTGGAAGACCGAAGATGTCATATTTCTTGCTAAGCACTGCGAAGTGGCGGAACCCGCTCTGTGCGTGACGAGGAGAGTGGGGGAGATGGCGTCGGGCCGGGCCGATGACTCGCCAAGCCCATTCAGCAGCAACCGCTGAGGACGGCCGTTTTGGCTAAATGATCCGACTGCTTGCCATGGCAAACAGAACAAGCGCTCTTTCTAACCCGGCTACTCGAGGTGAAGAGCCCCCAGATATTAAAAGGTGACGCAGACGGGCAGTGGAGGCAGCGTTTGGCAGCGCGCCTCCTAAACCCAGCGGCGCACGAGCGCTCGTCTTTTACGAACCCCGGCACGTCGCCGCCAGCGACAAATTAAACCGCCCGCGCTGCCCGCGGCCGCCTTTAGGCGACGGAGCCACCCCCCACCCACCCCCCACCCCCCCCAGGGAGGGACGAAAAGTGCGACACGCGCAGGAAGGCTCCCAGCCCTCGCAGGCGAGCCCGCTGAGAG